ACTCTATGCCAATTCTGTTTTCCTACTTGAGGACAGGATCCTTTAAATAGCACCGTGCAAAGTTTCTTCTCACTTACCTTTCAGAACCTAAAACACTATTATTAACTGTCCTTATTTTAAAATCCCAACCTCTGGGAGTATAGCAATCGATTAATCAAACAAATAAGCAATTAATCCAAACAATTGAGCTGGATGTTTACTTTAAAGCTCCACCTCTCTGTCTGCTTACTGAGTCTAGTTCCTATAGGGTTGGATTTGGAGTGGCAGAGGGCTGTAGTTCACTTCTCACATCCCAGTTCATTATGTCTCTGTTAACTGGCCTGGGAGAGGACACCGAAGCAGGGCTCCCTGGTCCATCTCGGTCCTTTACGTCCGAGGACGGTTGGGAAGGACATAGGGGATTTCAGAAGTGGGAGTAGTAATGGAACCAGTTTTGCTAAATGGCAATTGTCCTGTCTGTAAGTTCTGACCTCTGACCTCAATAGTGAGGAGTGCTTTTAAGCCTTGAAAGTGGGCCGTTGGTGTCTTTAATACTGTCCAGCTGCAAACTGTCGAGCTGGACATTAAGGCATTGACTACACGTTAGTGTTACGTGTATGCACAGAGCTGAGGAAAATGATGGAGTAGAGGGGGCCGGTAATAGCCCAGGGCTTTGGAATGATTTTACCTTCATGCTTCCGCTTCACACATTGAGTTTAACTCAATGCTTTGGTCTGTTTGTTTTTAAAACTGGGGTAATTTATCTTGTCTCCCAGTTTCCCAAAATGTTTATTGAGTTTTATATTTGTCCTTTGGAAATATAGAGCTGAGTTGAAATGGTTCACGTAACTGTCAGGGTGCTTTATTTGAGGAACAAACAAAAAATTACATGTTGTTGCCTTGGATTTGAACCGGGTCAGTGAAATAAATTCTGTGAGGTAGCCCATTATGTATTTTTGCATTACTTCATTGAATAAGTTCAGACTGTAGTAAGCAGCAGGTAACTGAGAAGGTGACTGGGAGGTAAGAGGAGCAAGCCCTCCATTCAAGGCCCTTTTGTGTACTGACCAGCCTACCTAATAAAATGGCTCCCCACACTTTTTACTACATGATTGGTGCCCCTCTAAGAAAGGGGACATGTTTTTAGAACAAGTACTAATGTCAGAGATTGTTAGTTTTTGTTTACTAGCAATTACTCAAAAGAGCAAAATGTAAATCAGTATAATATAAATATATAATATCATTATATGTCAATTATATATCAATATAAAAATATAAACCAGTATTCATAAGACAAAGATCAACCTGATTGGGCATCCAGGATAAACAGTTATTTCTGATTTTGTGAATAAAGAAAAAAACTATGTAAGAAAACAAGAATAACTAAAGTAACCACCACAACAGAACCCATATTATCCTTTAAGACTCCAATGTCAAATCCATTTTTTGTTTAGTTTAATATATGTGTGTGTGTGTGTGTGTGTGTGTGTGTGTGTATGTGATGTGTGTGCTAATGTGTAAGCCTCATGGACTCAAGTTTGTGTGACAGTGTGTGTGGAGACTCAAAGTTGATGTTGGGCAGCTTCCTCTGCCTCTTCTGAGGCAGTCTCCCTGAGATCACAATTTCTTGCTACTCTGGCTAGCCACCTTGCCTTGAGGTTCTCCTGTCTCCACTCTTCCCATAGCATGGGACTGCAAGTGGGCTGTCATACCTGCCAAGCCTTTACATGGCTTCCAGGGATAAAAACTCAGGTTCTCACACTTGCCTTGAAGTGTGTTTTCTAGCTAAACCACCCCACCCCTAGCCTTTCCAAAGGTCTGTTTGCAAACACTTTGATGCAGTCAGTAGTGTCGGTGTAACAGCTTTATGTATGGACTTAACAATCTAGGTATGCACTTATCTCAGGGTTGGGGTAGCAGGCTTTAGATTATATACTGAAACCTCTAGACTTTGTAGCAATGGAAATGTTTTTGTGGGATTTGTGATGTCCAGTATGATAGCCATTATGCGAATATGGCTAATAAGTATTTTAAATGTGGTGATTCTGATAGTTTTAAATTACATTGAGAAATTTGGGGTGTGTGTATGGAGACCCTAAGTGAAGACAGGACGATGGGAAACTGACAGAAACTAAGCTTGATTCATCAGACCCTGGGGATCAGACTTACTGGACCACTGTGGATGACGGAGAACCTGATGCATTATGGGAGGTGTTTAGTTGTGGGACATGGGTGAAGGGGGTGGGGCAGAATGTCCTGCTAGGCTGTTAAACTGACATAGCAGAGTTCTGAACTGGAGTTTAGAAGAAGAGCACATACAGGACATTTCTTTCTTTTTTTATTCTTTTCTTTTTTTCTTTTTTTTTTGGTGGAACTGATCTATCTATAAAGAAGCTGCACTTGTAAATCAATTTAACCTGGACATTCAGAGACTATCATTGGAAAAGGATTGTTGCTGGAATCTCTTCTAGTGGAAATAAAAGTAGAAAGATGGCTAGTTAGGAAAGAGCAGATCTTAATGAAAGATCATACTTGTCTCCTTAGGGATTATTCCTAAGGCGTGTCTGATTTCAGAGCATTAGCCAGTTGGGATTGTGAGAATCTTACTCATTTTTAGTGGAACATATTAAATATGACGTGAGCTGTTTCGTCTGCCATTCCTTCTTTTTATAACCTGGTATTTATTCATTGTTATTTTTACAACTTGTATGCTTATAGCAGTCACAATTGGCTTATATCATATATTTCGAATCAGTAGACCTTCTCCTGTATTGTCTTTAGAGTTCTCATTTTGATAAGCCTGCTGTGGTTTAAGGCTTGTGGCACTGAATGACAGTTTCATATGCGCACAATCCAGACTCTTCTCTTTTCCCTCCATTTGATTTGCTTTACATGCATGAATTATTGAATACCTCTTTGATATTTCATGCACAGTGATTTAACCTGGAACAAAAATAGGAATTGGTTTGTGGGCATGCATACACTGTGCAGAGTAATCTTTTAGGACTTCCATCGTTTCTCCAGGATTTGTGTTGGTGGAAGGGGAACCTGTGTGAGAGTCATCTCTTGATTGGTGATACAGGAAAAAGAAAGCTATAAAAATGTCAACTCTAACTTACTCACTTCAAAGACATATTTCTGCCCTTGGTCCTTTGGATTGAAGAAATCATGGCTGTATCTGACATCAAGAGAATGATCAGATTTATTTAATATTTGACCGCAGGGAAGGCTATGAGGCAATGCAATGACCTGAGGGCTTATTTTGCATTATATTTTTGGCGCCCTCTGTTGTCGACTTGCGAAGCAGCAGAACTAAATTTCTATTTAAAGTTTACAATTATTATAAGATAGGCTATTTTCTCATCCAGAAAATTAACTATATGTTTCAGATATATACAAGAGGGTTAAGAGAATATTCTGATGGACAAAATTAACATTCCTTTAAAGAATTTTAGCATTTTGCACTCTGCCAGAAATACAGGACAGTGCCAATTTTCCTTCAGACAGCATGTAGTTACGCTTTTAAATTTTTTCTCAGTCTGGTACTTGGGAAAAGATATCTCCTTATGATTTAAATTTGCACTTCACTACTTGTCTGTGAACGTAAACATCTTTGAGTATGTTCAGCCACCTTGTTCGCATTGTCTTGTGACTTCTCTGTCTTTTGTCTAACCTCTGTCTATCTGTAATCTATCTATCTATCTGTTATCTATCTATCTATCTATCTATCTATCTATCTATGGTATGTGTGGGTATGTCATCTGTGTGAGTGTTCCAGAGATGGAGTCACCAGGGGTGGAGATGTGCCGGTACCTGCTAAATATCTCATTGGCCCACATCTTAACCTTTTTCTTATGGAAAGTTATAAGAATTATGGTAGTACTTGTTTAAATTGTGTCAGAATGTGTCCATTCGAATTTGTGGTTTGCCATACTCCATGCCCTTTGTCAGGTACTGAAGGGAACTTGTCAAATGAAGGACACACTTTGTGGAGGCTATAGTTTAGTGGTAGCAATTACAAACAGATGGCAGTTTTTAAACTATAGCAGATGAAGTAAAGATATAAAGATTTGTAATTCATAGCAGCTGGTATTCCTACCAGGAAATACTAGGGCAGCTTTAACTGTTTCTAAATTGGCTTTTAGGGGATTCAAACACTATTTAGTATTATTTAATCTAAAATAACTGATCTATTGGTTATAAGCAAATAAATTCTAGTGTAGTCAAAGTGTCAATTAAGTTCAGATAGTGGGAGAACCAGGAGACCTGCATTTTTCTAGACTATTTTAGTTTCAGAACTAATCTTTCTTGGAGAATTGTAGTTTTAATTTTGGGTATATACAGTACTTTGCTATGTTTACTATCTTATTTAATTCTGAAGCTTTGATCTAGTACTTCAGGGGGAGGGTTCATGTTAATCACTTAAGATGTTTAGATAGGGTGGTACTTTATCACAGTAGTACAGAGAGAATAGCTGAGAAAATTCACAAACACAGATTTCAGACTGAAGCCAGTAACTGACTGGTTACTGACAATAAAGGTTTATTTGTTTATATATTTTATGTAAAAGAGTGCTTTACATGGATGTCTGCACACCAGAAGAGGACATTGGATCCCATCACAGGTGGTTGTGAGCCAACACGTGGTTGCTGGGAATTAAACTCAGACATTCTAGAAGAACAAAGCAGCTGCTGCTCTTAACCACTGAGGCCTCTGTCCAGCCCCTACTGCTGATAATAAAAGAGCCACATGAAATACCTTAACAACTGAAAAATAATTACCATTCGATCTAAGATGTATTTTTATATAGAACTATATACTATAACTGTGTTTATTGCCTATAGAGAATTTTTCCTGTATATGTTAATGGTATCTTTTCTAGACATTATAGTAATAACAATAATAATAATGCCCCTCTAAGTTGGTGAGTTTCATATCTGGCTGTGAGCTCCCTCCTGCAGGTGTTGTCATTACTCTGAAAGAAAAATAGTTTAACTGGTATTTTGCTTCCTTTTTCTCAGACACTGGGCAAAAGAAGACCCTAGACAAGAAAGATGGGAGAAGGATGTCTTTTCAGAAGCCTAAAGGAACTATTGAATATACTGTAAGTTTCTTTGGCAGAAGCAATTTCTCTCTCTAACAGTCTTACTGCAGATGAGTCAAGTATTGTTAATTGCCTCGCTTTAAAAATATGACTTTTTTTGTGTGTGTTACTTTCCTTAATAATAATCCTTGATTCTTAATTGCATTTTATGATTTGTTTTTCTTACCATGTTCTACAAAGACAGTATTCTGGCAAGTTAAATTTAATATTGATGATAGCTTAGAGTCAGAGTTCCTACGCTGCAGTAATTTTATTAGATTAAGCTTTTAGGAAAATATTTACCTTTTTAAGAATGTGCTCTTAATTGAGTTCCCAGCAGTGCTAATGTTAGAGCTAATGACAGATGGGACCCTTACAAACTAGGCTGAGTACTGCGCGTCCTCAGCTGTAAAAGCAGGGTTTCTGCTGTTGAAACAAGCCTCAAACAGTGTTGCTCTTTCTCATTTCTGGTTACATTGGACAGCTGAGATGACAAATTAATTTTGGAGTATGGCATTTTACTTGGTTGAATGTAAACATGATTTAGTGCTAAACATTTTGTAAAACAAATATATTAATTCAGATTAATTTTGTTACTATTTTTTCTAACATAACTATATTCATTACTCAATATTATACTGTATATACACATATACATTGCTATATATTTGCCATATTAAACATTTTCAAAGGATTAGAAACTACATTTTTAGATAGAATTCAATTAACTACTATAAAAAGAATTGGATTTTTAAAAAAATAAACAATAGGCCTTTTTTATTTCCAAGAATTTCATTCATACTTTTATATTCAATAAAAGTGGTTAATCCAAGAATGTTGGGATATTTAAAATGAAGTTTGTTCTCTAGTTTTCAGAATGATGTTTAGGTATTCCTTAAATTCTCAAAACCTGGAGTTGAGATATGTGTGGGTGTGGGTGTGGTATGTGTGTGTGTGGGGGGGTGTAGACAGTGATATATATAGACAGTGAGTTAAAGAAGGTTACAATTATGATTTCTGTACCACAGAGTCCAGACACCATAGAGCTTTGTCAAATAACAATAACCCTTCACAAAGGCATTTTAGTGACTTGTTGAGTTTCACTGGCCCTACAGACAGGTACACTTAGAGGAATATATGAAAATACTGTAGTAGTAAGTAGCTAGAATGTTGCTCTTTCTTCTTCTCTTTCTCCTGGATCATCAGGGGTTGATGTCAAAAGTATCCCCTCTCCAGGAAAAAGACATCAGGATAGGTATGGCCCTCATGCCTCACTGGACAACAACAGGGGGACTGGAGCCATTACAAGGTCCCCTTCAAGTACTGGAGGTCAGGCCTCTATCCCCACCTTTGCAAGATTAGAATCACCACAGCCCTTCTATACTTAGAGAAGGGAGGAGATGTCAGGGGCAGCCCTGCTTACACATTGAAGGCCTAAAATCAGCCATAGGCCTAAAATCAGCAATAGGCCTGTCATACATGTATACTAACACCAAGTCTTGGGTCTCTGTGGAAAAACATTGAATCAGAGGGCTATAAGCTATTGTAAACAGGCAGCTTTTGTGGAAATTTACCAGCCTGAGTAGTCATAGACCTTGTAAATAGGTAGCCTTGGCAGACAATACCAACTTAGATAAGGACAAGTGAATCATAGGCAGAGTCATAGTGACCTGTCCCCTGAACCTTCACCCAGCTGATACCCTGTTCTGAAAGATATCTGTACTTACCCTGGTCACCCACACTCCAGTGTCATCCCCTTCCCCAGGTCCTGCCTTTTTGTGTTTGTAACCCCTGTGTGAGTAAGTAAAAATTATGATTTGATTTAATAAAATAAATAAAAATTAAAAAAATAAAAACAAATACATTTTAACTCCCCCCAAAAAATAATTTAATCAATTAGACTGACTAAGCTTTTCATCAAAAAGATGGAAATGGTGAAATGTCCTTGACCTATAGAAGACTTGGATTTTTAAAGCCATTACAACCCTAAATTATGCATGTTTGTGCCTACATGGTTGGAATGAACAAATGCATTCAAATAGTAAAAGGCTAAGTAATTAAATATATTCTTGAATGTTTACAAAAGCATAAGATTTGAGACATGAGATATATTTTATGCTATAAAGATGTATGTGATATAGTTTTTGATGTCATGATCATGAACTATATAACATTATTTATTTTGAACTTGGGAATTTGCCATTCTTGGCATGTAATAAATAAGGAACAAGATTAAAATAAGAACCATGTATTGTAGAGTAAGGAGAGACCACTAAAAACCTGAAATTCAATTCTTTACTTTATGATTGACTCTTTAAAAGCTTACATATTGACAAGCGATTGTATTAAACATCTAACAGGTCTTTTTTTAGTTTCATTTTTTTTCTTTTATTCAACATGCCAAATTCTTAAAGGAAAGAAAAATAAATTTGAAATCTAGGTAATATACTGTTGTTTTATAGTCTATTTTACTATAATCTATAAAACATGTAATGAAGTCTATCAACTCTTCATATAATATGACTTTGGATTGACTGCAGTATGTATTTCCATGTATTTCTGTTAAGATAAAACTTCCTGTATTGCATACTTATGCTTCATGTTTGGTATAGTTGTATGCAATTGTAGTCCCAGCTCTCTGGAGACTGAAGCAAGGCAGGATTGTTTTAACTCAAGAGTTTTAACCCAAGTTCCAGAAACTTGATCAAGCAATTGGAAAAATATATGTAGCTTAAATATAAATCTATTACTACTTTATATGGCATAAAGTTAATAATTATATTTTTAGGTAACCTAAAAGCTAAAATCAGGGGACACATGCACTGCAGCTTTCATCATAAAAATCACATTAAGTGGGAATTAGAGAGGGCCATGAAAATGTTATATATGCATACTGCCTGAGAGATGGCTCGGCTGGTAAAGTACTGGCGTTGGGAATATGGGGATTTTAGTTCAGAATCCTAGGACCCTGTGTGTGCCTACAGTCCCCGCGGAGGGGAGACAGACAGGCAGATCCCTGAGCTTGGTGTCCAGCCAAAGTAGCTTTATTACTAAGCCTGAGCGTCAGCAAAAGACTGTCAGAAAATATGACATAAAGAGCAGTCGAAGAAGGCACGGGGCATTGACCTCTGTCCTCTACACATTCATGTATGCATGTATAGACTCATGCATACACACGTGTTCACAAAGTCTCCATACACATTTATCCACATACATTATCATTTTTGATAATTCTGCATACCTTTCTACTAAAGTATTTTCCAGTGAGCACATCCATCGACATTCTCCTTCTGCTGCGATTTATCATCCAGCCTCCCTACTCATACATTTTCTGTCCTTTGCTTTTTCAGTTAAATTTCAAGTGACCTGCAAAATTATTAGCTTCATTATGGAATTTTCATACCTAGGTGGCATTATATACTTGTTCTAATTGGTTCCTCTTCCCCGAGCACCCCTTATCTCTTCTGACTCGTTTCTTTCCTTCCTCTAAACAGTCCCCTATGTCCTCATGTCACATGCCTTCTATTCACCCCCTTTTTGCCCCTTTCCTAAGATCTCTCTCTCCTTTCTCACATGTCCTTGTGAATTTCATGACCTGTGTTGCAGATTTTGTTTCCCCTGTTCCTCCCTTCTCAGGTGCTTGCATGTTCCGCCGTTACTTCCTGTTCTGAAATTTCAGTTCTTCTCTTCCATCCAGCTGCAGTATTGAGCTCTCTGTTTCTAACACAGCCGTGGTGAGGGTGTGTGCACACAAGGCAAGGTTAACCCAGCTCCGTGAAGCTGCTGTTAGACTGTGGTGAGCAGTCTGCCTGGGGACTGGGATCAGAGTCTAGACGTTGCAAGGCGGTCCGGGTTCTGCCCCAGTGAGCAGTCTCTCCACCTCAGTCCTTTGAATGCTTCTAAAGTGAACGTGCTTTAACATATGTACTTTATGTTTGGAAACTGAGTTGTTGGTAGGTGTGGACTGTGGTAAACGACACGTTTTAACATCCATGCTCCCTGTCTTAGTAGGTTGAGATCATTGTAGAATGTGATATTTCTTGAGAGTTTTATCAGAAATTACAGTTTATGAATCAAATATAAGATTTTTTTCAAGATGTATTAATATTGCATAATCACTCCATCTTATAACTTAATTTTTCTGTTTTAACTGGTGAAAGCAATCTGCTTTTCATTTTTTACAGGTTGAATCAAGGGATTCTTTGAATAGCATAGCCCTGAAGTTTGATACCACACCCAATGAACTTGTTCAGTTAAATAAGTTATTCTCCCGAGCAGTCGTGACTGGACAGGTATTGTTATTATTTAAAATGTGTTGATGTTTAAAATTATAAGGTAAAATATATTCATTTTTATATAGTTAACAATGTAGGGAAATATGAGAATAGTTTTTTGTGTTCTGGGAATAAATCCTATTGTCCAGATAAAAGTATCAGTTACATCTATTAATTCCCTTTGTAAAACAGCTGAAAATAATTGTTAAGTTATGCTTCAAATATAGTCTTAATGAATTTTTAAAAACACTTAAAGCAGTTCATAAAAGTAGTTAACAAATTGAATCTTACAGAAATAGTCCAGCCTTTATCAGGGGATTTTGTTCGGATCTTTAAGCCTGCCTGTGACCCTTAGAAAATGGTGCATTGAACTAGAGAACTCTCAGTCCTTTCCTTGTCTGTAATGATGCACAGTATTGCTGTGGTTTAACTAGCTGCACAGTAGGGCGTAGTGTGTTGCTACTCTCCTGCTAATGTTAACACTGCTACAGTAAACACTTGTGTGTATCTATTTTATATATATCCCACAGCATAAATTCTATATCTAAAACTGTTGGGTCAAGAAAATATGAACAATTAATTTTTCTAGTTATTGCCAAGTTGCCTTTGATGTGAGCAGTAATTAAGAGCTGTAATACAGTAATACAGTAATTGAGAGGTTTTTTCTATACTATGTCAACAGCTTGTTTTAATAACCATTTCTAAATCAATTTGATAAATCAATTTAAAGTGTTTTTGTTTTTCATGATCGTTACGATATATAATATATTGCTCTACTCTTATAATCTAATTTTTTTCTTTTTATTGCTGGTAGTCACTATTAAATGTTTGCTTATAGAACATTATTTGGTCATTAGTATTTGTTTTCTTGAAGCTGTCTGTGAACATTTTCTTGCAGGTTTTATACGTTCCTGATCCTGAGTATGTCTCTAGTGTTGAGAGTTCCCCGTCCCTGAGCCCTGTAAGTCCTCTGTCGCCAACATCATCTGAGGCTGAGTTTGATAAAACCACTGTGAGTACTCTACTTTTCAGTTGTCACTATGTAGACAATGCAGTGTACATGTTACTCATTGTGTGCACTTTCTTTCTACTTTTCTGTGGTTAAAGCGAGAGTAGAGCCTTTCATTTTTGTGAAAGTGCTTATTAGCTCTGATCGCTACACCTTTGGTGGTCACAGTCCAGGAAATGTAATATTTCTATTTTAGACGTTTCATATGAAATTTAACTTTTCATGGACTTATACTTAACAAACATGAGACAAAATCATGTCCAGTTTGAATATTTATTTTCTGGAATTTGTGTGTGTGTGTGTTTGTGCACACACATACTCGCGTGCACTTATATGAAGTGTGGTGGAAGGGAGACAAGAATGAGTAAAGGGAGAGAGATGGAAACCTCAGTACTAGAAGCAATCCTAAATACAAAATTAGATTTCCCCCTCTTTGGAAGTATATGCTGGTAGGCTTGGTTCTGAGAGCAGCCTGCAACCCTGTGGACCGTGCTATTTGTGCTTTCACTGATGAGAACGTTTTGGATTTTGGAGCACTTGAGATATTGAGAGTCAATCTGCATTATATTTATTGTCATCGAAAACAGTGGAGATCAGAGCTGTATGATGGATATTGCTGACTAATAACACAATAACAATTGGAAACTCTTTCTACCATTCAGTTGGGGATGTGCCACGTGATACAGAAGGAGCGATAACCGGAAAAATGTAGTCAGAGGAGGATTTAGATTGAGTTTCTAGCTTTAAAAGTAGAATTATATAGAGTAAATTGCAGCACCTCTTCTAACTAGAACCCTGTGGGATTACCTTCAGACCACATCTCTCCCTCCTGGCTTTATTTGGAAACTTAAAATAAACAAGGAGATCGAGCCAGAGAGGGAGAGGGGGAGGGGAAGGGGAGGGAAAGGGAAGGGAGAGGAAATGGAAAAGGGAAAGAGAGAGGGCAGGAGGGCAGGCGAGCTGGCGAGCAGATTTCCTCCCAGCTCATCTGTACTTTGCTGTGCAGGTGAAAGATGAGAATAACAAAGCTTTGTGAGTGACCCCTTAACCAGAGTTACTCAGCTGCTGTCAGATGTGGTCCAGGAAGGACCCTGAGCAGTCAAGAGATGGAAGCGCTCATGGAAGCCGTCGCCAGGGCACTGCATGATCTAGTTAGAACATGATTTTGAAGGTCATTTTATAAATTATAATTGATTTTTTTTTTGCCTAAAATTAAATTTGTTAGGGAATTAAGATAATTTTTCTATGTAACTTTTTATATCTAAGGTGATCATAATTCTATATTATAACTACTGTTTGTTGCCTGTGCTGTTATATCTCTAATAATATATATTCTTAGAAGAAAAGATATTATATTTGAATGTTGCGTTTGATTAGGCATGCTGCATACTGGCATCACATTAAATCATATCTGTTAGATTTCCTTCTGTGTTTATTGCAGAAATTGCCAGTGTTTCCAATAAACATTGATTGGCTTCCTGAATATTCAGTTTTGTATAGTACAGTATGTATGAGACTAAAATATTATATTTACAACTTTGTTACTATTCAAGTTTTCATATATTTTTTAAATTATTTATCTCACGTAGAAATATTATCTTAGAAAATTTAAATTTAAATTTCTAAACTATTCATTTTTATTCACGTGTGGATGAAGAAACAGGAGGGACCATGGTGAAAGTAGATATTAACTGATTTGCCTCTGAGGTTACTATTTGGGTCCAGAACTTATATTCTATGTTAATTATTGCTTTATACTGGAAATTGACCACTCAGTTCAGTAGTTAATTTCACCCAAAGAGAGGAGTAATACTTGAAATCTACCACCGAGGGAAGTCGGGGCAGGAGCTCCAGGCCGAAAACTGAAGGAAGAACTATGCAGGGATACAGCTCACTGGCTCGCCTTTGCCTTGTGCTGGGCTAGCCCTCTTACTCAGCTCAGACCCACCTGTCCTGGGATAACGCCACCAGCCATGACTGCTCTTGCACGTCAGTCACCTGTCTAGTCTCCTCTCAGTCTAGTCACGGCCAGTCTTCAGCTTATTTATCTAGCACGCAGTGAGCACTAGTGTTTGCTAGTGCTTAGAGCACCTTGGCTTGACAGTGCATCGCTCCAGTTTCTGCCCTTGCTGTCACATGACTTGCTTCTCCCTGTCGTCTAGTGTAAGGGCTCTGCTGCTTCCATATGCCTGTTGAAAAACTAATTAAACCAAGGAAGACCAGTTTCCATATCAAGTCCCCATTTAGGGGTCCTAGGACTTGAAATTTCAGTGTATCCTTTTGGAGACACAATCAATACCTAACATTATAAAATTTCAAAGGAATTATAGTTTATTATTTTAACTTTAATGTTTATCATCTATTTTAATCACCTTTACTTTTAAGAAAACAAGAGCATTAGCATAGGTCTTGTTTGGGGCAGTTCAGTAGTTGTTAAAAAGATCTAGGAAATCTTCTTTCCTTATATGTGGAAGACATGCAGATATGCAGAAGTAAGACTGTCTTCTCATACAAGCGTGTGGACATGCTTGGTAATGTTCTGAGCAAAGCAGCGCATAGCCCTCTCTTGCTGTCGCTGTCATTCGGCACCTTGAAGTTGTGTACCTGCTTGTATATCGGTTGCTCTAATGGCAGACAGTCACGGACTTAAAACGTTGGATCCACCAGAGCAGTTTAAACACTGGATATTGCATATGCTTGAAAAGTAATCCCTATTTTAAAAACATATATTATACAGAAAGTATATTAATCTCCATTGCCTGATAAGATTGGGTGCATTCTGGGTGATATGGCCACAGACTAGGGAGTATTAACTAATATAAATTACAATTTTAACTTCAAAGCTTTTAAGCATAAATCTAACTCTCATACATACTTTTATGTTAAATCTAAGCCAATTATTTTAATAAATGCTTATAGGACAAAATGCATAAATAACTTAGATGTGGCATTTTCAACTTTATAATCAACTATTTTTAGGGAGTCATCCTTTTTTAAAATATAACTAATTTTATTTTAGATTTATTTATTTTTTCTTTGATGTGTTAAGTATTTCTGTGTATTTATGTGTGTATGTGTGCTATGTGGATGCCTGTGCATGCAGAGGTTAGAAGAGGGTATTAGATCTCCTGAAACTGTAGTTAAAGACACTTGTAACCTGCAGTATAGGTGTGGGAAATCAAACATGGGCTCCTCTGTTGTACTCCTAATGAACTGCTGATCCATCTCACTAACCTCTAGTGTATATTTCTTAACAGATTATGTTCCAATCAGACTTTGGTACTATAGTCTCTATCTAAAATCTCATAGTTAACTTTCAGTGAAGTAGAACTTTAAATTTTCATATTTATACAACCACAGAAATGGATAAGTTACTGAGTAACAGGTTTTCTTCTGAATTTTGATTGGGAGCCTCGTTCTGTAATTAGAATTTGAAAAGCGAGATCTCATCCTTAGACAAAGAACTATCACTATAGCCAAGTAAGGAGTGCTGTAAGTGGGAGAAGTAGTCTTCCCCAGGTAAGGGCACACCAATTGGTTATCCGATATCGAGTGATCATCCCCGAAAGTATACAAGTAACATTGTACAGGCTGAGAAGGCCATACTCATGTATTTAGGGATACGTATGTATATACACATATACAAGTATATGTAACAGCCATGAAGAAGAGGCTATGAATCTGAAAGGGAAGAGAGCATAGGAGAAGCTGGAGAGAAGGAAGGGAAGGAAAAGTCATGTAATTATAATCTCAGGAAAATTATTAAGACATTCTGTTTTGCTTTTAAACTGATGATAAAAGCTCAGGCAGATTTAAAGCTAACATTCAATCTCTTACAATTGCACCCTACTTTTCTTCACCTAAAAAAATTTCATTCTGCATCTTGTTTTTAAGCTTTCTCAACTTCTTGGTTCTAGGAGGTAGAATAAAAACAATGTGTGAGTAAATGTAACTCACAGAGGTAAATGATTTTATTGAATATATTAAATTTTATATAGCATACATATATTGGGTGAGAAATACATCTTGTGCTTTACCTCTGTGTAACTAGGCTATGTGTGAAGCTGTCACTCCGTAAGAGCACAAACACAGTACAGCCTAGGCAAAAGGAAACGGAAGTGGAGAGGTTGCGCTTACTCCAAGCCTTTGTCTGTTCACAGTTGGGTGTTTGGGGCAATACTGATGCTAGCTAGCCAGCTGTATTTCTAGTCTAGGACCTTTCTGTTCCTAGTAGCTAAAACAAGATTACAGAGAAATATCAGGAAGCCCTCTAATGAGCTTGAAAACCTTTGCATCAAGTGACAGACTCTGAGTTCAGACAAGCTCTCCATAGACATAATGGCATTTTGAATGATTCCCATGTATGGAATTTGTATTGAGGTCTGATCACAATTCCCTGAACAACTTTGATTCTTTTACAAAGAAAACATTTCTTTGTGCTACACTCTGAGCATTTGCTGAGCTAACTTTTGTAACTTTGTAATATGATTACGTTGAGATATTGGGGTTGCTATAGATACTGAGTTATAAGATTTGAGACTCTGAGGGAGCCTCAGATCAGGTTTCTCACTGAGATACACCTTCATTTACGGAGAGCATTTGACAATATCCTTTGATGTAGTTGTTCTGTGAATAAGGTGGTTTCATAGCAGCCAGTGATACTCTTACTAGACTATAAATCCGTAATTCAAGAGTAATTGAACTGCTATAAATAGAATTTGTTGCTAGCTTTTTGCCATCTTGGGCTTCCTGATGGTCCTGGGTCATCTACCTTCTTGGGTGGAACATTTTATCCATCATCTGGTACAAGGGCTGAAGGGAAAGTACATATTATTACAGTTGCATTCACTAGCTCTGTGTCAGCAGCCCAGACCTACATCTTAACTTCATCTTAAGTGTTTGGCTAGGGATGGAATTTGGCTAAACATGAGTGAACTCTGAGTTTGGTTGCAGAGTGCTTCCTCAGAGAATAGGGTGGAAAAGCAATAATGGTTCACTGTAGAACATCAGCCTCACGTCTCCACAAATACAAGTAGCACGTGGACACACACGTGTGCCCACATACCTAAAACTTGGATGTGTACCTCAAACACACACGTACACACACACACACACAGTTACAGAAAGAAAAAGTAAGTAAGTTGAAAATTCTTGTGATGAGTTTATTTGCTTGCTTGCTTGCTTGCTTGCTGTATTACTAGATATCAGTGGCCAGCTCTTCCCTTACTCTGCTCTGGCATCTCTTGGGTGCCGCCTTACATGCCGCCATGTAGATGTTTAGATAGATATAATTCATATGTATCCTTTTATTATAAGCATTCAGAATTGAAGTTATTATTGTTATAATTTGTGAAACTTTGGGGTATTTATCTTAATGGGGTAAGAGAAAAAGAAAGTAGGATTTATTGGGGAAGGTAATTTGTTTGTTATTAACAGTATTTGTACCTAGTTTCCTAAGGCATGTTTTTTGTGTTTTATTTTGCTTTGCTTAAGACTCCCGATGTAATCCATCCAAAAGAAGTACCTCCTTCATCTACTGTGAGCGGTATTCGGCCTGCAAGAGTTGTATCTTCAACTTCTGAAGAAGAAGAAGCATTTACTGAGAAATTTCTTAAAATTAATTGCAAATACATCACCAATGGCAAGGTAACAAATGACATCCTAGAGTGGACTTTTATCATGCTTCGGTTTTTACTGACCTATGAAAGCTTGACTTTTGCATTTTAAGTCAATAGTATCAGCCACTCCTGACTGTTTTAACAAGGTTTTGGTAACTGGATATTTGTGTTTGAATGGACCTTGCCCATGACTTAGAGTCTGGTGATCTGTGGCAGTTATTAAAGGTAATGGGTTGTAAATAAATTTACTACCATAAAACACATATAATGACTTTTGCTAGGATAATAAACACATCTTTAAAACAGCAGTATTGATTATAGCAGGAATGCTAGCTTTGTAAAACTTGGCATAACATACAAATTGAGAGATAACTCATCTTTAGTGAATATGTACTATATGGTAGAAAGTATTTGAGTTGTGTTAATTCAAGCTACTAAAAATAGGAGTAAACATTTCTACTTTGGGACAAAGTATATTACCTTTTGAAGTGCTAAATACATAGGGATGTTATATGTGTTTTGTTTTGTTTTTTGTTTTGTTTTGTTTTGTTTGGGACAGTGTTTCTCTGTGTAGCCCTGACTGTTCTAGAACTAGTTCTAGACCAGGCTGGCCTCCAACTCATAGATCTACCTGCCTCTGCCTCCTGAGTGCTGTATGTACCACCACCCAGCTATAGGTATCTTTCTGTTAACTAATTTCTGATGAGATCCCACATGGTCAGAGAATATCCTTACTTTCATTTGAAGACTTAATATAGTGTGACTTATTTCCTGATCTAGAATTTCTTGATAAATCTTGCATGCTTTAAAAACAGATATTTTGCTTCTGCTGAGTAGAATATTTTGCAGTATCAGTGAAATCAAGTTGGATGATGATGGTCTTTTCCTGTGTGTGTGTCTGTCTGTCTTTCTTTCTTTCTTTCTTTCTTTCTTTCTTTCTTTCTTTCTTTCATTTTTACTTTCTTTTTCTCTTCTTCTTCTTCTTCTTCTTCTTCTTCTTTATTTATTTATCTATTGGTAAATAATTGACAGGAGTGGAACTATCTCATTGCAAAGGGTAGTTTTCTGTTTTCAGTTTTATAAGTTTATAATTATAATTATAATTCATGAATTTTCAGAGTACTATTATATGTGGAAATGTTTAGCATTCTTACATTATCTGGATGAATTGACTGATCATGAGAAACTCACATTAATCTCAGGGATCCTTGTCCTGAATTCCGCCCTGGTGGATAGTGGTAGATACCACTATAGTCCTTAACACTTCTTTTGAGAAGTGCTAACATGCCTATCCCTTTCTGTCATTATAAAGTGTGTTTCTTATGGGTAGTGTATGATTTTAGACTTTTAGTCAAATGAGTTTGAATTGTTAAATTCTTGAGATTTCATAGCTTTCTTGAGGAGAGACGTTTGAAGGATTCCCCTACGCATCCTTTTAGCCCCAAGGGTGGATTCGTAGGAAGTTAAAGCAAACTAATTAATCTAATGGATAAGGTGTCACCTAGTTTAGTCCAGAAACTAGAAGCAGCTTTGAGGCCTTTTGTATGCAGAACTGGAAGCATTTGGATTACACTGGACCTTTTGCTGTTTTGTAGCTTGTTAGACTTCTCTCCTGAAAGTACTCTAAAATGTAACCTGCGACATGTTGATGTTGTGAGCCAGATGTGCTCCAGGCTGGGATTGTAGTTCAGTGATAGAATACTTGCCCTGAGTGAATGATGCCCTAGGATCGTTCCTCAGTATTTCCAAAATTAACACAAAACCCAGGAAAGAAAATAATCAGTTAAAATCATGTACAAATAAAACTTACAAAATTTCTTTTAGAGTACCTGGAATATATTGCTTAATTTTAGCCACATTTTTCAGTCGTTAGTTTTCAGAAATTGAAGCAGCAAGAGAAACAAAAGGTTAGAAACCTTTTAAGATTTTGTTACAGTGCATGCACTGTGGCCTTGTTGGTGTATGATTGGGCTATCTGCAGTGTACGATTGGGCTATCCGCAGCAGTGTAAATGCCCTGTGCAACACTCCACTGGCTTTCCTTGGCTTGTGTTGGCATATGCTTCAGCAGAATAATTTACTATAAATGAGTCTCATGAAAACACTGCTCAAAGGCCAAATAAGCTAAAGTTTATATAGAGTTACTCCTTCTTAAGACGATTCATGGTCTGAACTAAAAGGAGTGGCAGCTAGGGACCTTTGAGAGGGCCTTGTGGGTAAAGACCCTTGGAAGCAGAAAACTAATTCTGCAAGCTGCCCTCCGATCCCCTTGCACTTGCTCTGACACGTAACATATGCACATAAGCAGTCACCCCCGCACAGTAGATAGTATCTTTTAAGGACATGCTGGTGGAGCTCTTAGATCACTTACCACCAAAATGCACCCATATATATGTCTTATTTTATATGACATACCTTTACTGTATTGTGTACCTGTGATATCTGCTACAGGTGCATCTTCCCACTTGTTCCAGAGATTTCATCAAGAGATTCTTTGAAGCTTTCTTTACTTAGTCTTGTAAAAGGCCGTGCCTGCCATAACTTATACCACATTTTGTTCCAGTTGACTGTGCCTGTGTTTGAACGTGAACGAACGCTGTGATACCAAATCAAGCGGGCTGTCTGATTTTCTTTCTCGCTGACCCTTCAGGAAAAAGCAAGATGACTTTAATCACCATTGGATTTTCAGAAATTTGACAGGCTTTTTACTTTTCTGCATACAAAATATCTCGGAACAAAAGTTTAAAACAGAGTAAGGGATGCTTCGCTCTTGACTTGGAGTCTGGATACTTTGTGAAGATAATGTGGTGAAGGAAGAGACTACCCAGACTGGTTGTTTCCTTTTGAACAAATTACCCACTTCTCTCAGTCTTTGTCATCACATCTGTAGAGGAGGATATTTCAGAGCAGTTCAGAAATAGTGCCTGTTTCAGAGCTAGGACTGAGACTCAAGCTAACAGTGTACATCCAGAGTTTGATGTACATGACTGAGTAACTGTTCATTCCTACCAGTGCTGTCATGTGTCTAGAAACCTTCATTGATAAAAAGGGCAGACGCTTTAGATTTGTATCCCTGTTTTTATAAGCTCGTTTACAATTCATAATCTTCAATGGTAAATGAAAAAACAGTTATGGCCTACTATGAATTTTATCTAATCTACCAACTTTACAGATGAAGAAATACGCCCAAAAACTTTGCACTCTGAAAGTCCCATAGCTGATGAATAACAAATTCAAGCAAAACTAGTTACTTTTTTCAAACAATATTTCTATGAAAGTATTCCTTTATCTCCAATACTGAGATATTAGTGCACATGAAGCTTCATGGTACTTGTATTGGGAGAAGAACACAGGAGGGGTTGGGCAGATTCCTGTAGACTTGGTCTTGTGCAGTGTGTTTCTTCATAATCTGGTCGCTATTTTACTTTGTCAAGATTCGTTCCTCACATGATTGTTTTAGGCAGAACATGATATTCTTTGCATTCTATCTCTGCTGAGGAAACAGATAGAGTCTAGTAGAAAATCATGTTTTCATGAAAGTGCCACAGTGCCTGACTATGTTATGTAGAAAGTAGATGGCCAGAAGTCAGAAAAAGAACTTAATAGAAGTATCTAGACTCTTTTATGAAATTATGAACCTTAAAGATTGAATGGAACTTTCTCTTTCCTCCTAGGGCACAGTCAGTGGCGTCCTGCTAATCACACCAAATAACATAATGTTTGATCCACATAAGACAGACCCCTTGGTTCAAGAGAACGGTTGTGAGGACTACGGCATCATGTGTCCGATGGAAGAGGTGATGTCCGCTGCCATGTACAAAGAGATTTTGGATAGCAAACTAAAGGAATCACTGCCCATGTGAGTGCGTTAGTGTGCTGGTTGTTTCAGCTTCTCCTTTTGTCTTTTTTTCTCTGTTTGGTTGGTTGGTTGGGTTTTTAATTGTCCCTTCTCTAATGCTCTTATTTTCTTAGCTTTATTATAGCTGCTTTTTATTCTCTCAGTAGTAAAACAAAAATTTAAGCACTATTGAACAGTTGATTTTTTTACTGTGCCTGGTGTATAGTTAGTGATTTCATTAACTTACATTTATGTGGTCAAAGAATCAGATATTTGACAAGTACTTTATAGTACTTAAGTAATTCAATGCTTGTCAACCCTTTGTTATTTAGACACAAAATCAAAAAAATTAACTTACTCCATATTATTAACAAATACAGTAGCTGTCAAGTACCGTGAAAGTACCTAACATAGCCTGTGGAGTTGTGAGTGTGGCGTAGATACAGGCCTGGCGTCGCTACAGTCAGAGCAGCTTTACGTTTACACTTACAGCTGTCCTTCTGGATACAGACAGTGTCACCAGGGGAGAAAAACCTCCAGGTGGCACTAATGAAGGGTTAATGCTGGAGTGTAGTAAGGTGGGGACCTGTGTGGCAGAACGGCATAGATATGAAACAACAATGTTAGGCAGAGCCCCTTATAGCAACACGCATGACCAAACTAGGGAGCAGAAATGGGAAAGACCGAGAAATATACCGAGCAAGAACACAGAAGAAGGGAAGAGGTTGGCATATGATAGAGACTCCTTCCACTCCCTGTGCAACTGGCAACTATTTAAAAATGGCTTCACTTTCACTAATAACAGATAATTTACAGTCTCATGCCAGTTTAAAAAAATAGACAAATTACAAAGGAGGAGGAGCCAGGTACTTTTTCAGGTATGGCATGTAAGCTGTTAGGATACCTGCGATGAGTTAAAGCCCTTCCTGGTGAAGGGTCCATCTTAGCCTGTAATGACAGGTACTTGTTTGGCTTGGTAAAATGATCTTTAGAAACACAAATAATTTGAGAAAATAAGTATTCTAAACTACTGGATATATTTTTAAGTTCTCCACAAAAGCTGATTTCAGGAAAATGAGCAAGAAAGAAAACAAATCTGGACTGAGTTTAGATGTAGAGATGAGACACAAGGTGAAAAACCAGCTCCATGGGGACAGAAGCTGCTGGATCCGCGGGGAGAGCCTGTCCTGACATGGCGTCTCAGCGATTCAGAGTTAATACTGTTCTGTATGGGCTGTGCTGCTCTGCAAGGAAGACGGAGTGTCCCTTGCCTTTCAAATGACCATTTTATCATCCTACATGTTACTTGGGAGGAGAGGGACCTGGGTTCAAGCACTTTAAACAATATCACCAGCAGAAAATATCCTTAAGTCATGGCTTGTATGTTAACTGAAATCAGAATTTGGCTTCAAACAAGATACATACATAGAGTGGCTTTGTAAAGTAATAGTTTCTTTGCAAAGGTGAGGTCAAAGATGTTAATGGTCTTCCCTTTTTTTAATGCTTGGAGAATTGATTTCTAAGATACTGTCTGAACTGTGTCGAACAATGCACCAATAATGTTTAGCCTTTTAAAATATTAAATTTCAGGCTAAAAAACTCACTTAAATCATAGCCTGTTAGGTTTTAATTTTATTGTTTGTTTCTGTGTTTTTAAAACCTGCTAACAGCTAGTCTGTTACGAGTGTATAGAGAAAATCTCCCAAAGCGCAGGCTCAGTTCCTTGACACTGTGGGTGCAGTTTAAGTAAATCACCAGTAGATGGCACCATTGCATTTGTCGTATCTCGAATTAGATTGCCTCTTTTAAAAGATGAATCCAGTACAAAGGCAGAAGACATTTAAACTAAATCTTTAAAATAAAGATTTTCCTTAGGAAAAAAATATATATTTTGTTACAAAAACTTGAACATCACAAGAAAGTTAGTAAGAGACTTTGCCTTACTATCTGTAGAAGGTTGCTTACTTACCACGGACTTCCTCCAGCCATTCTGGCTAGCGTACTTCTCTAGCCATGTGTGCACAGCGTTGACGCTTTGCCACTGTTTATCACGAAGCAACTTTAACCATCGTTCTTCATTGCTGACTTTTAAAATGATGCTTACTTCCAGAACATACATCTTGGGAACATTAGTATTTACCCAAACAAACAAACGCCAGTAAAGATGGAAGTGAGAGCCAGTGGTAAAACATTCCTAATCTAACGTCTTAGTTCTTTAACTGGGCAGAAACTCATAGAACTGGTCTGCGCTTATAGATTTCCTTTAAATGTTTTGCTTCAGTTTGGTTCACATTATCCAAGTTTTTTAAATCTCTTTGCATATAAATAAATACTACATATGTATATGATAAATTGAAATTTTCTATTGCCCCTATCCTACCAATGAAAATTTTATTTCAGTATTATAATTTAATCAGCAATCTATGACATCAAACTTTGCAAGAAGTTTGCAAGAAAACTTTGTTTTCTTTACAAAGAATTCTTACATTGATGTTTGCCAGATGGTAAACAATTGATGAGAAATCTTGATGGAACTACATAGTATATATGAAATACAGTTATTTGTATATTCTGTTATTTGTATTTGCTGTTTTTGAAAAGCCTCTTCTGTGATACTGTTTTATTATTTGCTTGAAGCAGTTAAATTGTTGCAGTTTTTAATGTCTAATACGTTTTCATTTTATTTAATAACAGCGAAATAGATCAATTGTCTGGAAGGGGATTCTGCCATTCAAAGAAAATGACAGGAGTCACTACTGAGGAAACAGAGTCGAGAACCCGCGACCAGGGTAACGACAGTGGCAGCACTGCTCCCAGGAGCACTGAAGAGTCTCTCTCTGAAGATGTTTTCACGGAGTCAGAACTCTCCCCTATCCGTGAGGAGCTGCCCTCCTCAGAGCTGAGACAAGAGAAATCTTCTGACGCCTCATCAGAATCTGTGCAGACTGTCAGTCAGATAGAAGTACAGTCCTTGACAGCTAGGTCGGAGTCTGCCAGTGTTCCTGATCACATTAACTCAAATGCTGGACATTCTTCAAATGAAGTTGGGGCTTTATCTCATGAAACTGGTTTAAGTAGTCTCGAAATAGTCACTAAAGAAGGAGATAAAGCTACAGAAAACCTTCAAGAAGTCTCGGGCCCTAAAGAACAGAGCACAGATGTAAAAAGTCAGGATAACCAGGATTCGTTCCAGCATGAAAACTCACTGCAGCAAGAGGCAGGCGAAGACAGTGTATCTTCTGGAGAAACAGTAGAACTGAAAGAAAAGTTAACCGTCCTTAAGAATCAACAAGGGAAGGAGCTAAAACAGGACTCAGAGACCGAAGTAGAAGAACTGCGCAAACTCTGGAAAAGTCACTCTATGCAGCAAGCCAAGCAGCAAAGGGACACAATTCAGCAGGTGTCGCAGAGAGAGAGTAAACACAGAAGCGCACCTGCCGATGCACATGGAGAGGGTGAGTGTTAGGAAGAATGGAGCTAGTCTGTTTATTGCACTTTGCTTTCTGCTTTCCCTCTGACCAGAGACTGCTGAGTTAGGTCGGTGTGAGTGAGAGTCAAAGGACTGCTGACTGACGTGACTCCGGGAGCATGTCTGCAGGGCCTGGTCTCTGAACTTCTTCCGCCATGTGTAAGCACGCTTGACTCAGCGCTTTCTATGAAGTCTGTCTTATGAACGTGTACCCACGCTGGGTGATACAGTGATTGCTCCATTTTCTTTTTCATTACAGCATTGCATATATAACGTACAAATTTAACTTATAATTGCCAAAGTTTTAAATCCATAATTTTTATAGAAGGAACTGTCGAACATAAAACTCTACTTGTATGATTCTTTTACATATGTAAAAATCCCTTGCTTATCTAATTAGATGGCTTCTTTTAAAAACATATGCTCAGGATAAAAGTTATCACTTCCTGTCTTAATTCAGGTTTTGTTAATATAAGCATTATCGTAATACTTTCTAATATAATGTGCTTTTGCTTAATACACTATGAATTAAGTAGCTATGGCTCAAATAATTTAGTAGGCATTCTACATATTTTATTGACATATTGTTCATATTAATTCAGTTTATATATGAGCTTTTTTTAAATTTCAAGTTTTTATTTTACTAAAATGATAGCCTACTTTTACTTTTTTAGAGATTTCAAAACGAAGCTAGAGAACATATACAAATATCTTTATGCCAATGTTACCTATATCACAAAGAATAAATGCCTTAATAATATGAATTCTTAAAAACAACAGAGAAATGATTGGATAAATTAAAGACTAATAAAACTACATTTTCAAAAAGCTATAATGGACATACACTGCACAGATGTTAAGTGAAAAGAAGCAGGAAATAGCACTGTATATTATATAATCCTGAGTTTACATTAAAATCCATATGTACAGATAGATACAATATAATCGAAGACCAGAATGCCTTCCAAAGATCTGTAGGAACCTTAATACTAGTTGATCATCCTTGGTTATCAACTCGAGATAATTCTATAAACAGTGCGATAATTTCCTGTATTTGACAGTCTCTCCTAATAAATGTTCATTGTGTTCTGAATAAAGGAAACACATCGTAGAAGAAACAGTTCACCTTTAACAGAAATTGCTGTCAGTAAATACATTCTTTAGTTACTAATGAATATAATCTTAGGTTTTCAAACTATCCTAGTTGGGTAATAAAAAGAAAGTTCAGTATTTTAAAAACTGAACGCTGAATGTGACAGACAGCACTTGCTTAAAACCCAGTGTTTGGAAGACAGGAGGACCAAGGCCTGTCTGCCTGGGACACTGGAGACCTTGTCTCAAAACAACAATAGTACTTCTAAGGCTTTTTGAAATAAGTTTTGTTATGTAGATCTTCTGGCCTCGAGTAACACGGGACTGGAACTGTTGCAATTCCAAGTGTTTGCATCATGCCAGATGGAGCCAGGCCTCGGTGGACCCCGGGAAGGGATGAAGGTGATCACAGCAGCTCCGGAAATGAGCAGCTCCTCAAAGATGAGCAGGCATTCCCCTTTTGGTGTATGAACCACCCCCTCCCCCTACAAAAAAAAAAATGAAAAGAGGGACTCAAATAGATACTTGTACAAATCACAGCAGAATGATTTATAGAAATGTGCATATGACTGAATTTTCTTTGCATCATCCTGCTGGCAAATAAAATATGATACATTATATACATGGAAGTGTTAGTTCTTCAGGTTTGAGGAGATAGGGAGTTTCTGTTACATACATATATGTATATGACAATGACAATTAATGAAAAGAATCATGAGTTTGAAAGAGAGGAAGGACTATGTAGGAAGGCTTAGAGGGAGGACGGTGAATAGGGATATGATGTAATTGTATTATAATCTTAATAAGTTTTTAAAAAGAGGAAAGTCTAAGACAGGTAAGTGGTGAAGGCATGCCACTGAGTGAAATGTGCACCACAGAAGTGTGTGTACTCCCGCTTCCACACGGTGTCGGAGTGAAGGATGACACAGAGCACGCACTGGTGATGACCAGGGCATGGGGAGAGAGCAGCCTGTTGCTTAGTCCAGTGCTGCTTTGCTCTGAGGAGAATGTGAAAGTTCTCAGGATGGATGTTAGTGGTGAGTGTACAACATTATGAATATACTGATGCCCACAAATTTTAGATTTCAAAATGGTCAGAATGGTAAATTTTATGATATGTCTATTTTACCACAAAAAAACCAAAATGGTAAATTTTATCCTATGTATCATTTTAGTAAAATAAAGATTTGAAGTATATTGTTGATTTCTTACATATAGATTTCATTAAGTTTTTTACCTTATATTAAAATAAACATTTAGAAATTATGTATACTTACTTAGATGCTAATTTTTTTGGAGTAATAGAGAATATGCAGAACATTTTACATGTATATGCAGTTCAGCAGAGCTGTTATTCGCAATTTATTGAAAAGTCTTAGCTGAGCTTTGCATTTTTTTCCTAATAGTCCTAATACCAGTAAAACGCATTATTTTACAATTAGAAACTAAAATGTAAAATTGATTTATCTAAATAACTGAGTAGACTGTAAGAGAACTGAATGGATCCTGTTTACACATCACTTCTAGGCTCCTCACTGTTAAAGGAAAAGAGAAGGCATCGGTTACATAAGTTCCTGTGTCTCAGAGTCGGGAAACCAATGAGAAAGACATTTGTATCTCAAGCAAGTGCTACGATGCAACAGTATGCACAGAGAGATAAAAAACATGAATATTGGTTTGCAGTGCCACAAGAAAGGTAAAATAAAAGCTTCAAAACATCTATTTTTCTTACAAGACTTTTTTTTTAATCTATCGTAACACCAGAAATAAAATACCTTAAGCCCACATTTCCTCACTAATAGCCAATATTAGGTAGACATGGTAGCATACACCTTTAATTCTAGCACTAGAAAGGCTTGAGAGAGGAGCTTCACAAGTTCAAGAGCAGTTTGACATATGCAGTGAGTTCAAGGCCAGCCTGTGCTATGTATCGCAGGGCTATCTGTAGTAAGTAAACAAAGGCTAGTCTGTATGAAATCAGCTGCTCTCTGATACTTTTAATTTATAGGTTTAAAATTTCATATTTGCAGTTTAGTGCAAAAACATTGGAACATGAATAGTGTTTTAGTAGTTAAGGACGTATGTCCCAGACCATAAAGATCCATGGGTGTGTCAACAGATACCACCTGTAAAGGAAAATGATGTGTAGTTCTTTATTTAACATTTTGTGTTTAAGTCCGTATTTTCTGGTATGTTTTCTTACAGACTCTTTGAAGGAATTTTTATTCTTTATTAATAATTTTCCAACAAATTCCACATACTTACATATTTTTCTAGATATTCTGAAATCGGGTGTTTTTAAGTTTCTAGGACAAGCTAGGCGGTGGTGGCGCATGCCTTTAATCCCAGCACTTGGGAGGCAGAGGCAGGCGGATTTCTGAGTTCAAGGCCAGCCTGGTCTACAGAGTGAGTTCCAGGACAGCCCGGGCTACACAGATAAACCCTGTCTCAAAAAACCAAAAAAAAAAAAAAAAAACCTAATACCATCCCACCACCTTACAACCCAAGTTAGACATCTCATTGCAAATATAAATAAAATGTACCTTGGCTTTTATTCATGTTAATATTACTAGAGTTTTGAACTTTATCATAGATAGAAAATGTAACAGAACTGTTGATAGTGATTAATTACCAGAAGGTGAAAATTATTCCCCTTTTAATATGTCAGGGGTTACATGGCCTTGTAGATCATGAGATGGATACAGAACTAACTGCTAGCTGGGAATTTTGTGATTCAGTTTTCCATGTGATTCAGTTAATATGTGTGCCAGTATATACACAAGTGCTTTAAATGTGTATTTGACCTTTAAATATGTTTATTACAGAATGTACCAATCCATATAGTTTACTACAGTTAGCAAAACAACAGACAGGGGAAGCAGATATGGAAAAAGACTAGATCGCCAACCTACGCAGCCAGAAATCACTGTGGATTGCTGATATCAATCCGAATGCTGCCTGTTGGTTTTTATCCCACTGCTAGTGTCTTGATGGAGGAAGTATTATACTGGAGTTACTATAATGAAAGGCCTTCCAAGGCACAGCTTTTTATAGGACTTGACATATCATAGCCAAATTAGTTTTTAAAGAAAGTATCTTCCTTTAATGAACTTTACTGTTTTATATAGTGCAGTGCCCTTTGAAAGACATTTCACAAAGTTTTTTAACTTGAGCTAAAGCAAATAATACTAGGAGGCCTGCTAATAATCCTTTGCTCTCATAGGACAGACCACTTGTATGCCTTCTTCATTCAGTGGAGTCCAGAAATCTATGCCGAAGACACTGGTGAATATACCAGAGAACCTGGATTTATAGTAGTCAAAAAGATGGAGGAGTCCGAAGCCAATGAAGCCCCTGCCGGTGAGGCAGCAGCCAGGGAGTGGGAGGTAAGGAGCAAGACATCCCTCACTCTGTTTGCTTCTTTTTACTCTGTGTGAGTGTCACTACAGTATGCCACAGACTCAAGAATTCATTGCACAGAAGCAGATTTTTGAAGACCTAGTTTGTAGTCCAGGCCCAAATGTGTTTATTGAATGAATGAGTAGTAAAGTGCTGTTTGTCACTCTGTTTTTACATTTTTACATTAAAATACTGAATCATTAATAATAAATAAGTTTTATATATTATAGTATAAAGGAAGATGACATGGCAAAGATAGAAATAACATTGCTGTCACACTGTCATAGCACTTCCTTATCTGACTTATCTGTATTCTTTCACGTGGATGAGAAGACACTCACTTAGCACAACCAGCTGTTATTTCTAACTTTCACACCTCATAAGCGTTACCTTCATTTGAATTTGAATTTGGTGATATTAACTTGGTACTAATTTTATAAGAATAATACATTTTTTATGTGCTTAAATTTAATGAGTTTGCAAACAGAGTCCAAGCTAATACTGATAAGCACTTTTCAAAGCCCCCTATAGATACAAATTTTTAGGATTATACCACTTTATATGCTTTGTCTTGTGAGGTTGATGGCGTAACAACATTTTTTTTTATTTTGGTATTTTTGTCTTAATCTCTTCTTGATGTTATTAGAAAACATAGAGCAGATGCTAAAATGTGATAATAAATGGACTCAAATTTTATTATCCGTTTGGTTAAAGTTTGTGGTTATTTGTGTGTATGAATTTATGTGCATGTAGTTAGCATGTACAATGATTAAAATACATGTGATATGTCTGCTGTTTAAGGTGTGTTCCTGATTGTGGATGTTTAACATCCTTGTGTTTGTTACATACAACATCATCATCAATATAATGAAGGAAAAGAAATAATCTATACATTTATTTTAATATTTAAATGAAAGTTATTAATTATTCCAGCTTCATTTATAATAGATCTAAATTGGAAATGACCTGAGTCACTATCAGGAGAATAGATGGGTAAATTTGCAGATGTTTATAAAACTTTAAGTAATACAACAATAAAATGAAATTTCTAATGATATAAGCAACCATATGGATGATTTACATAGACGTGTGGGGTATCAAGGGAAGGCCTGATATGAAAGAGTGAAAGGAGCCGAAATGCGTGCGTTCAGGGCTCTCGGCTTCCTGGAAATTGAGGAGTAGCAAAGTGGCAGGAAGGAAATTTATGGCGGTGCTGGGCATATGTTGCACCTCACTGTGGGTGGCGATGGGAGTGCTGGGCACGTGCCGCCTGTCACTATGGATGGTGATCATATGGTAACTGCGTGCTCATGATACTTTCTTAGTTCTAGAAGGTAACTTTGTCCAGATTCCCAAATATATTTGCAAGTTTTAAGATAGCAACAGTTGAAGGTAGATTACAAGAGAAAATAAGGTAGGAAGGGCAGCGTGTGAATGAGAGGAGTTATTGACAACTGGATTAGGATGAAGTTTCTAAATAGGACAGTAGCTAGCGTGCTGGGTGGCAGAATTTCCATCAAGAAAGAGAATTGAGAACTTTTTCCAATTATAGTTGGGTCAGTTAAGCTCGGAAACACGAAACTACTGACTTTCTATCCTTTCTTCTTTTTATCTGGGTACGTGGGTTGTGTGCATGTTTGCAAATGTGCGGACTATAGTTTGTGTGCAAATGTGTCCGCTCAGAGACCTAGGTTGCTAGGCATCTTCCTTGAAGGCTCTTGGACCAACCTCTTTTAGGCAGCCCTTGTCCATACAGACCAGCGCTCCCAGACACTGCTCTCCACAGTTGGCTTAGTGCTCCCAGACAGACACTGCTCTCCACAGCCAGCTTAGCGCTCCCAGACACCACTCTCCACAGCCAGCTTAGTGCTCCCAGACAGACACTGCTCTCCACAGCCAGCTTAGTGCTCTCAGACAGACACTGCTCTCCACAGACAGCTTAGCGCTCCCAGACAGACACTGCTCTCCACAGACAGCTTAGTGCTCCCTCCCAGACACTGCTCTCCACAGCCAGCTTAGTGCTCCCAGACAGACACTGCTCTCCACAGCCAGCTTAGTGCTCCCAGACAGACACTGCTCTCCACAGACAGCTTAGTGCTCCCAGACAGACACTGCTCTCCACAGACAGCTTAGTGCTCCCAGACACTGCTCTCCACAGACAGCTTAGTGCTCCCAGAAACTGCTCTCCACAGCCAGCTTAGTGCTCCCAGAAACTGCTCTCCACAGCCAGCTTAGTGCTCCCAGACAGACACTGCTCTCCACAGCCAGCTTAGCGCTCCCAGACAGACACTGCTCTCCACAGCCAGCTTAGTCCTCCCAGACACTGCTCTCCACAGCCAGCTTAGTGCTCCCAGACACTGCTCTCCACAGACAGCTTAGTGCTCCCAGACACTGCTCTCCACAGCCAGCTTAGTGCTCCCAGACAGACACTGCTCTCCACAGACAGCTTAGTGCTCCCAGGCAGACACTACTCTCCACAGACAGCTTAGTGCTCCCAGACAGACACTGCTCTCCACAGACAGCTTAGTGCTCCCAGACACTGCTCTCCACAGCCAGCTTAGCGCTCCCAGACAGACACTGCTCTCCACAGACAGCTTAGTGCTCCCTCCCAGACACTGCTCTCCACAGCCAGCTTAGTGCTCCCAGACAGACACTGCTCTCCACAGCCAGCTTAGTGCTCCCAGACAGACACTGCTCTCCACAGACAGCTTAGTGCTCCCAGACAGACACTGCTCTCCACAGACAGCTTAGTGCTCCCAGACACTGCTCTCCACAGACAGCTTAGCGCTCCCAGACACTGCTCTCCACAGACAGCTTAGTGCTCCCAGACACTGCTCTCCAACAGCCAGCTTAGTGCTCCCAGACACTGCTCTCCACAGACAGCTTAGTGCTCCCAGACAGACACTGCTCTCCACAGCCAGCTTAGCGCTCTCAGACAGACACTGCTCTCCACAGCCAGCTTGCTCTGCACATCCCCATCTCAGTGTTCAAAGCTGAAATGATAAGCAGCCTCCACTTCGACCTGAGCCTTACATGGCTTGTGGGGCTCCAAGCTCTCCAATTTAGGGTGTCTCTTTACCTGACAAACATTTTAACCTGCGACAGCTCCCTATCCTTAACGCTGACTATTTTTGACTCAAAGGAATGGCTTCTGTTCTGGGGAAAACATTGCAGATTATAATTCATAGATTAAAAATCTTTGTACCTCCTCATTTGCCCTAGGAAAATTTACACAAAACAAAAAGGGGTGGGAAAGTTTGGTTTGTACCAGTGTGCTGTTCGCCTCGCCTTCTGGAAACAGCACCTCCAGGTCTGATGCACTTGTCTGTGGCTGTAGAGCTCTTAAGTAGGGGTGATGCGAGGAAGCAATGGGAGTTTTAAGACTAAAAGCCGATTTCTCAGCCAGTTACATTAGGTTATGTTTCAGACTGTTTGGACAATTAGCGTGCATGGTTAACCTTTTCAAGTATAAGTTTTATGAAGTCTGGATATGAAGTTAGTAGCTAGAATGTACAGTTCACTGCCATCTGGTTCTCTCACTTTGCATCTTTCTTACACGGGTCTTTTGTTTTAACATCAGGAAAGTCCTTTGTTACTGTGTTTCATCTATTTGTCTTTATTCCTTCTTCCAGGGAATATCAATATATCATCCAAACAGATATCAAATTTTGACTATTCCACAGTAATGTGGACAGACTGGTCTTTCCTTTAATCCTCTCCCAGGACAATTTCTCTTACCTCCGTTGTTTACCATTATAGATTCTTTCCAGACCCGTTGTTACTTTCATCACTATTCTAAGATTTATTAAAACGTTATATATCATGGCACTCAAAATTTCTCTAAGATGTGTAGTTTGAATAGGAAAAGTTTAAAGACATATTCAAAGGACCATCATCTACAAAACACAGAAATTAAATCTTTGATTATAAATAGAAAGGGCAGAGATTTCACAGTTAGAAATTTGAGGACAGTCAGAAGGCCAGTGTCAGAGATTTATAGGTGAGCTCTATACACTCGGAGATCCCCTCTCCCATAAGAGATGGGAAAATGTATCGACGTTTCAACAGTGGCATCCCCTAATGATATATCAGAATCGTCAGTATTATGTAGAGAACCTGAGAAGCATTGTGTACTCTGTTGGTGGAGTCGTAGGAAAAGTTTTAGGTTTCTCTTCCCTCCACATAGGTCCCAGGAATCGGGTCCTTGGCTGCAAGGCCCGTTAACACCAGTGCCATCTTCCCAGCTAGAGTTCTATTTTTGAAATGACTGCTATTAAAAGAAAAGTCGCTGACATATTCTCTACCTCCATCCCTTGCCCAAGTATTGATAAATTGGTGGCTTCCTTTAATGGCTAGTTTCTTAGACCTGAAGCTTTTTTAGGATTAGCTGTCACTCAGAATTTCTCGATCACTCTAAGCTAAGGTCATCCATTTAAGTAGAAGTGTAGTATGTTGCCTGCTTATGAAACAAACCCCCAAAGCAATATTAACATTTTAGTGTCTACTTATGGCTTAATTTTTCAAATTACTTACACAATGATTTTGTTTATAACTTCCAGGGTTCTCTGGTTTGATTATACCCATCTAAATATTTAATCTCTGTCTTCTACACCATTAAGCTCAATTATATCCTACTGTGTGGATGTCGCTGTGTTTGCACAGCTGTCATGAGAGTTATTGCTATGGTCATTCACTGCATGTGTCCAAAAAAGAAGGCCAGTGTAACCCTGCCGAAACTTGAATTGAGCACCATGCCAAAGGCCTGCGCTGGCTTAGTTAACGTGCTGTGTGCTCAACAGCTGGGTAACAAATGGTGCATGCTTATTTCCCCAAATACATCTCATCTTTGTTATTAAGAACTACCTAATCCCAAATTAAGATCGGGTCAGTATAATAAAGTACAAGCAAAAATGTTCCTAGCCTCTTCTCAGCCTGGTTATCAAACGCTCATTCAGTTGGAAGTATCCAAAAGTGAAGGGAGTATTTC